CGAGTTTGTATGTATACAGGATAGTTGAGGCGATGAGCGGCAAGATCCTGATCGACGGCATCGACATCTCCACAATCGGTCTGCACCAGCTGCGCTCGCGCATCACCATCATCCCGCAGGACCCCGTGCTGTTCTCCGGCACGCTGAGGATGAACCTCGACCCCTTCGATGCGTACAGCGACGAGGACATCTGGCGCTCGTTGGAGCACGCACATCTGAAAACCTTCGTACAAGGTATGGCTGAATATTATTTGTGGAAGATTTTAAACATATGTATTTAAGAAAATTACTTTATTTTAAACTAGCTGTTTCTTGCGAATTGTCCCGCGTGAAATCATACAAATATTAAAAATGTGAAAGTTTAGATGGATGGATGGATGCTTTTAGAGTTTGTAGCCTAAACGGCTAAACGGATTTCGATGATATTTGGCATAGATATAGAGGATACTCTGGAAAAACACATAGACTACTGACTTTAGTTTTTTTAATTACCATGCGGACGGAGACACGGGCGAAAGCTAGTTAAAAATATTAATAAACATACTCTATGTTACTCACTGATAACGTAACTTTTTAATGTTTAAAGAATTTTTGAAATTGGCCCAGTAGTTTTTGAGTTATTTCAATACATACAAAAATACAAATCTTTCCTCTTTAAAATATTAGTACAGATAAAAGTGAAAGAGATTGCAATATTGTTATTACTATTATAAATAGATGGCGCTGTAATTAATTAAATTAACAAATTTATGTTAGTTTTGAAGCACCAAATTCGCGGTTTCATACACTTAAAAAGTAACCTTCTTAGATTTTCTGTTTGACCTCTAAATATGTTTAACCACCGTAACCAGGTCTGCAGGCGGGTCTCCGTCACGAGATATCTGAGGGCGGTGAGAACCTGTCGGTGGGTCAGCGTCAGCTGGTATGCCTGGCGCGCGCGCTGCTGCGCAAGACGCCGCTGCTGGTGCTGGACGAGGCCACCGCTGCAGTCGACCTTGAGACTGACGAACTCATACAGGTATACATACACATATATACATGTATTTTACAAATAATTACTCAAATTTTGTATTTCCGATGTACGACCGATGATATCCTGACTGAAGTATTGTGAATGTATTCCTAGAATCCGTCTTTACCCATATATGATCCGTCCACATATGATCTAGTATTAGTAGTATTATCTAGTATTAGTAGTATCCAGCAGTAGTAATTTTAATGTCGTGCTAGCTCAACATATATTAATATGTTCGTTTCAGAAAACGATCCGTTCAGAGTTCGCGTCGTGCACGGTGCTGACGATCGCTCACCGTCTCAACACGATAATGGACTCGACGCGCGTGATGGTGCTGGACAAGGGCCAGCTGGTGGAGTTCGCGCCGCCCGACCAACTGCTGCAGGACAGGACTTCCGTCTTCTACGGCATGGCCAAGGACGCGGGGCTCGTCAATTAATACAACTACACAGTATGCTTCAATACATCTTGATACGTGACTGCAAATTTTACTTATGTAAAAATCCAAACGATATTTTTTCGTTGTCGATACTTTTGTATTAACAGTCATCATCAGCTCACTATACGTCCTCAGTGAGAGGTCAAAGCATACCTAATGCTAGGGGAGATAAGGCCATAATTATATGTTGACCCACTGCATGTTAGTTGACTTTACCCATATCTTTGAATTTCTTCGCCGATTTGTGCAGTTTTCCTACAATGTTTTTCTACACAGTAAGAACGTCAGGTAAATTTTGTACATATGAAATTTGAACGTCACATTGGGTCCCGTATGAGTTACGTATTTATAACTATAGCATTAATTTAAAAAAAAGGAGATTTTACAATGCTATATTTACATAAAAATCACTGTATTCAGCGTTTTTAACTAATAAATTAAAAAAAAAATTGCAGCCAAGTATCAAGATGTGTTGAACTATTATTAGATAGCTTCTCCTATAAACTGTACTTGTTGAAACGTGTTCAAATATACATTCGTATAACTAATGCTCGAAAGCGAAACAGATCAATTAACTTTGTAAAAGTATTATTTTTATATGATTAGACGTACTCGAGTACAAAATCACGGCATCGAATATTGCCTTATCCTTTTCATTTTTAACAAGAAGTTTTATGTAAGCGAAGTTGTACACTAACTATAGTCCAATAAATTTATCTGACCCGGTGTGAAGTCAAACTAAATTGTGACATCCCAATACCGCCCTTCTTGTCAATGTCAAAAAGTGTCAAAATATTATTTTCGTTCCGTAGCGGTCAAGTTTTTTCTATGTCTAGATTTTACACATTTTCTGACAAAACCGTCGAGTGACTTCACCTCTCACCGTATCGGATATCCTTGTTGGACTATACAATGTAACCTTTTTAAATTTTCAGTCAGTAAATACGAAAGTTATATAATTACACTTATGTTTGCTGCCAGTGAAAATTCATTCTTGATTTTGTTTACATAAATCCTCATGTTATATTGAAACAGACTGTAGTTACCACAAAGGCCGCCCCTATACTTAATTGTTTTTAGATATAGATCCAATTATTTCGAATCGAATTTTACAAAAAAAACTCATTCTTTCAAATAATTATTGAAACTAATTCTCGAATTTTCTGTATTTGTGATAATTGTAATAAATCTTGTACTTATAAACTGCAGCGTTTAAGCTTTAATACTGCCTTGTGAAGTGGCATCTAACCTTGTTTAACTGTCATACTCAGGATTAATGATTATTTAAGTAGTCCCTTAGTATAGATTTTTCATAAACTCGGTGACCCTTAATGTAACAACCATAATTGACGGTAATGTTTCTTGGTTACAACAGTCACTGAGAGCAGATTTTTATATTTAATTTATATTAAGGGCATCCTTAACTATTCATTAAATAACTGAGCGTGGTAATAAGTTTGCTTTGGTACTAATGTTATTTAAATATAAGATATATATGGAAGTTATTATGTGAAGTGTTGAAGCGTGGTACATCACAATTTGAGTAATATTAAGTTATGACTTATCACAACATTGTACTTAGTTTTATTTACAATTATATGTTTTATTTTATGTCTTAGTTATACAACTTGTTAAATATACACAACCAGTTTTAGAATAAATAGGTATAAAAAAAATTGTTCCAGTTAAAGCATGATGTTTTTATATTCCTTTATGTACTAAGTAGACATTTTTACAGCCTGTCATAAATAACTTAAAGTGGACATTATTTCTGATACTTAATTTTTTTAAATTCCTGTGCAAACGTTTCTTTAATTTTTTTCCGAGTCAGTTAATAAATAATAAAAACTCGAAAAATAATAAAAACTCACAACATTTATATCAAGTTTAGTTTGGCAACAGATTTTGGTGCCTTTTATAATATTAGAATATTTATAATGCATTTAATTTTATTTGTATTTATTTCTGTATCTATTTTAAACTTTTTTTTCTTAACAAAGACAAAATCTTCACATCAAACATGTTGTCTCTATTTTTGTAAAGTAAGAGAGAGATAGAGATAACATATTGTTTGTAACACTGAGCATTATAAAAGTAAATTATTACTTGAATGTTACGGTTGCAGAATATTTTATGAAATAGAGATTCTAAAACAATTTCGTATCAACTTTAGCTGAATAATATGTTTTCCATGTGTGATTGTCTATTTAGTAATGATAAACCATTTATTGAGTAATTATAGAGTGATCAGGAAAATAGAAAACCATATGAGGACGACCATGAAACTATATGAGGACGCCATAATCGACTCTTTTTACATCAGCTAAAGGCACTTAAATTAGTTCTATATTTCCCCCACAGGTATTTTATATTTCAGGTCAGACTATAACAAGCGATCAGTTTTACTAACATTTACCAACCTATGAGAGAGAATTTGTTATTATGATTAAAGGTTTAGAAGATTTATTTGTCTTTAAATGGAAATTTATCACAATTTGAAATTATTATTTTAAGTTCAAACTCATTTTACAGATTAATATTTAAGAGAATAATTTTCGTGGCACTAGAATTAGATAACCTATAAAGTGAATATTAAATGTATTTAAGCATATCCGACAATTCAATAGATATTTTAAAACAAATATTTTATGTGTGAACTTTTACAAAAGACATACTCAACATTATTAAAACTAACTTAGTAAAGATTTTTAAATGTGTTCTTTTTTTATTTTAGTTTGACATTGTTAGAAATATTTATTTCTAGACTTTTCACAGGGACTTTCTTAAATAGGGGAGAGTACTAAATGTTTATTGTTTAAATCCGTTAGAATCTTGCCAGTGTTTGTTCAATCTCTAAATTACAATATATGGATTAAGCAAATTATACTATGTAGAGAAATTAATTAATTTTATTACTGAGCATAGTAAAATTTGTTATAATTTGTATATTTTTGGTAGCTAACATGCATTTGTCAATTAAATTAGGTAATAACTTGGTCTGCACCACATATAGGAAGTTACAATGCTTAACAAATGTTACAATACTGCATTTATTAGTAGTATATTTTGTAAAACTCCTGCCTCCCGTCTGTATACACAATGTCCTTGTAAATATTGAAAAATATTACTAAGTGAAGTAATTATATGTTAAAAACTTTGTTTTAGTGATTAATCACAATACAGGAATAAAGTTATTTGTACTGTAATGTGCCTTTTTTTTTAGTAAATTTTCCCCTCATAATCTATGAAATTATTTAAACATTTATTAGAAAGGTAGCTGCATCTCACGATTCAATCTAATTTGAAAAAGTCTTTTGGTTTTCATTGTCGTAAACTTGTTTAAAAATATAATTTCATTTGAAATATCAGAGAACAATGGATGCAGATGTAAGCCTTACAGTTCCAGTGGAATGTAGTAGAATATTTTAAGGAAACTTTAAACTATATTACACGATAATCATAATCTTAAAAATTCGTTGTAATGAAAATATAATTGTCGAATTTACCGTGTTTTTTTTTTAAATATATAATTATAGTTTTTTTTTACTGTTTAGCTGCTTTTTTGAAGGCTGACAACACTACATATTTAAAGTCAATTGTCAAAGTCAATCAACAAAATATTTTGAATGAAGTGTTCATTTTTAACTTTAATTTCATACGAAGTTTTTAATTACGAGATATTGATATAATTTTTCATAGGTTAAACTTAAGAGTAATTTAAGGCATTTTTTGTCATTTTTTATGACATGGATAAGCTATTCAAAATACCTTTGCTGGATGATTTCAAACAAGTAGATTTTTATATTATTATTTATATTTAAATTTGTTACTTACTTTTGCACATATTATTGTTTTAGAGACTTATCTATATTTTTAGGTCACCGATAATCTAATAAGCAGTTTGTACAATCTGGACAATACAATACACACAAATATTTTATCGGAAGATGACACAAGGGTTGCAAAGGAAGAAATTATAAAGTGTATTTTGGAGACAAATTTTGATTTCGATGCCCTAACCAAATTACTAGAATCAAATCAGTACAATGTAAACAAAATAACACATTTTATTACAAATTGTAAGCAACGAAAAAGCGAAATTCTTTTTTCCACAGTGATGCATGTTAACAAAGCCTATGGTGAAACTATGCAAAATTTCGACTGGCTCTTGAAGCTCGTTATTGGCACAAGTGAACTCAAAACAATGAAATATCCGTTATTACAACTTTTATTCTTAACAGTAACAAAAACAGTTAACAACAATAAAAGGGTGTATGATGTTAGCAAGGATATGTTAGATAAAATGATAAATGTACTTGAAGAGACATTAAATGCTTAATGTGAAATACTTGTGTAAAACCATATTAATCTAAAAGACATCCTTTTATTAAGAGCTGTACTGAAAATTCCTAAATATCTGACTGAATATATTCAATTTGTTGTAACAGTAATAGTTTAATAAATACTTGAGTAAAATTGTTCATAAATTTCTTTTAGTTTTATATCTTACATAATGGGAAAACAGATCCAATTGGGTTGGCCAGCCAACAAAAGGAAGAAAGTGTTAAATATGACTATGTCAATGATGTATGGTCAACATACCAGAAATATTACTATCCTTCAAAATATACTCCATTTACAACTGCCTTTATATTATAATTTATGATGTTTTAAATTAGTCTAATCGGGTCAACTACCAATTCAGTAATGCAGTTTGTATCAAGCATATTGCAACAGATTTAAAGTATATTTAGGTTACCACCCTGAAAGTCTGAAACTTGATGAAATGTATTCTTAAACTCTACTTAGGTTTTGTGAATCATCTACCAGGTTTGCCTGTACAAAACATACAACCTTCTTTTTAAGATTAATTTGAATTAAACCAGTATTGTGAGATAAAAATGTATACAATGTGTTGAACAAGTGACTATCAGAAGACAAAAACCAGTTTATTGTGAATATGCAATGTTCAAATGAAGCTTTCTTTTAACTGGCATTTATAAAATACATGTTTGATAACACACTCTGTGTATATTCAACGATAAACATACTACACATTTAGTTTAAGTTGCAAGTTTTAATTTAATTTAAAAAATCAGACTTTTAAGGGTTAATTATTCAGAATGTAATTTTTAGTACCTTAGTAAATTATAATTTGTTTAGAAATAGGAACAGCATATCTGTTATAAGAAATGTTCACACCATATAAAAGGTAAAAGGGTATGCAGTATGAAAACGACTTATTGTTTTTGTAAATTTATTTATTAGAGACATTCACACATCAACATGAAGTTTGAGTAAATTGTATAATATTCTAATTAATATTGTGGAACGAAATAACTAAATTAAATACAATTACAAATGTAGCTTTAAAAACTTATTTTTTATAGAAATTCCTTTCAAAAAAAAATAATTATATTACCAGAACATCTACTAAAAAAATTAATTGCAATAAGGGAATATAGAATGGCAAAATAAATGTACAATAATTCCTTACATATATTAAAATTACATATTAAGACGACGCACGGTTGTAATTTTATCATTAAATATTCACTCCATTTTGACCATTCGAACACCTATAGAGTTGAATTAATATACGAATGTCATTTCGACCTAACCATAGCGCATTGGCTGCAGTTATCATTTTACTACTTGAAAAGAGCCAAAATTAGTAACTAACAATTTTACACGCAAACTGCGATACTAATTAACGTTCGAAGCACGTTAAGTTTCAGCTTACTCGAGTTATTTCAATATAGACAAGTAAGAACATTATAATTTCACATACAATTTTCATTATCTTGTAAATAAGAAGAAAAAAGAGACAATACACACAGAAAATGATTAATATACAAAAAGGTGGGATCATGGAACGAGGAATTTAGTCTTTGATATGGAATGTCTCACTCACATTAACTGCTAATATATTCGGGAGCTTAATCCCGTTAATGCTGATGTCACTTCAAATTTCATTAAAAAATTGTATAAAATTACAAAAATGATTATGAAATCATACATGTAATAAATTGGACGCAGATTATAGAAAAATGACACAATTGTATAATAATATCAAATCTTATGTAGGTATGTGGTCGCTAACTCGTTACAAACTCTACAACTCTAAATATTATCATATAATTAATTGTATGTATATGCATAAAAATGTATAGGATAATCAAAAAACGTTGGCCACTGCAAGTCCGCCGGCCGACTGCGGACACGACGACGTCATAGCTTACAATACATTACGTAGTTGCCTTATTATAATTTTGAGTGTAGACAGGAGCGCGTCACCAATACATCACTAAATTTCATATAATCGCATTAAAGAGAGCTCCAACTAAATTTATACAACTTAAACATACAAATAGCGGATGTATTCAAGTCGACAAACTAAATGTAAATTTTCGCACATTCTCAACAATATACAAAGTAATTTTAAATTCATATCGACACAGAATATTGAAAGCCCCGGGAAGTACAATAATTCATATATACATAATATGTCTCAAGTACTAAAAACCTATAAAAATAATCGTATTCGAGGGGTATTTTATGAGATTTGGCGGTCGCGGGTGAAGATGACGACGACTTTTGTGCAAAAGTACTTGCATCTCGTGCCGTAGAGTGCGCGAGTGGGGGCGCGGGGTGGGGGTGGGGGGCGACGTGACTACTACCCCTGTAACAATGGCACCAACTGATCAATCGCACCGTATACTGCCTACATAACTTTGTTATTGTAATATAATATGAAAACTCCGTCCTAGCGAATTAAAAATGTATAAAATCTTAAGCAAAGCACTCTAAACTTAAACTATAATCATTCTATGAGAAAGGTCACGTTCGAAACCGAAATCCGCTTCTCCGATATTGACTCATCGAACTTAGTTCGATAGCGCACCAGCTGACGGGAAATAAATTAAGGGCTAAAGTAAGGCGCGGCCGCGGCGCCGCTTCTAGTTGGCCACCGCCACGTCGCTCGCGCTCTCCTGCACACACAACACAACACGTTACTCTCTCAACATTTCATTAAACAATAAAAAAATAAAAGATACAATTTGATCATTCTTTGTCATAATTGAATAATGTAAAAATAATGTTTTAATGTAATACCAGTTCAGTTTTCAGTTCCGGCACAACAGGAATTTCAGGAATCAAATCCGCCAACTTGTCTGACATGGGCAGCACGTCCTGGAAGATTACAATGTTCTATAGTATTTGGAACTACACCTTCACCATTGTTTACTCTTTTACAACAAACTAAAAGCTTAAACAACAACAATAATAATAATATTAATACAGAAAACATTTACATATTACACCAAAGTAAACAATTTTATTAACTCTTGAAAATATGTTAATGGTTTAAATTTTTGAGAGCGTAAAATATCTACAAAAGTATTGTATGGTAAATAATACAAGTAATGGCTACACAGATGTAAGTAGAAAGCGGCAAGCATGCGGGGCACAGTGATGTCGGAAGCGGCGGTAGGGTGCAGAGGGTAAGGAAGGGTGAGGACGGGGGAGGGGATCAGAAGAGCAGTCAACTGTAGGCTGTGTGCGATGGAAGTGATCGGTGACGATGCTCCAAGTCTTCCCGTCATTGACTGTTCAACGACATGCTGGTATTAATGCACATGAACTAACATAGTCAGAACTCTTATTACGGAACTAATCCTCTACTGAGCTAGTCCGGGCGTATTCACCTGTGT